CTACTCGATAATACGAGGTAATCTGCCTCAAATTGATCAAGGCAAACGTATACTGGCCCAAATCCGCTATACCAACAATCATCGTATTCCTCACATTCTGCTCGCCCATTAAATAAAACGGGCGCATCAACTGTATTTTTATAATTGTCTATCTAAAAATAACATGTTTTATCAAGTGTTAACTACTTTTTTTAGAACCAACATCCGGGTCCCAGGTTTATTGTTTATTGTTTATTGTTGAAAATCCTAATCTTCTTCTTTTCTTTCGCAGATTTCATAAGTTGATATAGGACTGATAGTTGAATTAAATCGCTTTGTTAAGCTAAGGCTCCATGTTTCCCTTGAATTCCACATTCCAAAAGATGTTCTCATTTCGTCCGAGTTGGACTGCAATTTCGACTTTTCAGCCGGGATTCATACGCGGGTTGCGGTAGTGCAGCGTTGAGTCTCGACATTTTAAGTACCACACCGCCCGTGGGTCAAAAAGAAGAAGTGCCCTCCGTTTTCACTTTGTAAAGTGGGATTGTCGATGAGGCAAACTTGATTTCTGCCATTATTCTCGAGTACTTTACTTATAATCGCTTAAAGTGGGTTTCTACACTATCAGTAAATAGTCAAATAGTTAGTCTTGAAACCTACTTTACGCGAATATAAGAGAATTAACTGCCTCGGTGGCGATTGCTCTCACCTCCCGTCATTCTAGCACGAAATAATGAAGAATAAATCACTTCCAATAACAAACTTAGTCACTCTTGGATGTCTAAATTGATGCAAAAGAGTGATTGTGAAATTCTCCTAAAATGACACGAAAGGCCCCCATCAGGTCAGAATGAGAAGACATTTTCGGGCTCGAGGCCCACAAGTACCAGTTTTGGGAAATCTTACTTTCAAGAAGTACCGATATTCGCAAAAACTGTTGATGGAGCAGCAGTGACCGAAGACTAAATACCACTGACTTGTCGGTATCCACCTCGCCAGCCGGTCGGTTGTCGACAGGCCGTTTGTTCCCAGCTTGTGGGCACGATTGACGAGACTAGCGCCCGTCCGGGTTGATTGGGCCGGCCAGTGTGTATGCGTGTCTTGCTGATCACTCCAAGCCACAAACTATTCCGGACCCGGAAACGCACATGTACACACACATAAACGCACACACATATATGTGTGTCATATCGAGTATGACTTTTCTTCATCGGCAATCCCAGCAGAGAGTGTGCTATGGGAAAATGCCTGACTTTCCTTGGAATTCCCATCTGCTCTGTAGGCCAATCACACTCGGTGCCCTGCGGCAGAGTGGCCAATGCGCTGAGACTAGGTACGCGCCGCACTGTCAAGGTTTGAGTCCCGCTGGGGGGTTGATGGGATCTAGACGAATTCCACTTCAACCTGAATGAGAATACCTTTTGTGCAAGAAGGACTATGCGAAATTCAATGGAAGCGTCAGCTCCATTCATGTGATTAGAAGTGTGACGTCAGTTTAAATCAAGTGAGGCTTGTACATCTCGTGTTCGTGGGCGGCAAAGTGGGAATTTTCAACTCTTTTCACCACCTCCTATCGCACCAGCAGCGCCCGTCTGCCGCAGATGCATGCCTCTCGAAGAGGTTGGCCATTGGATCCAGTTCGTGGTCGTTTTCTCGCCTGAAGCCCCTCGAGCACATGCGCAACGATAGGCCTCGCTTGTCCGTCACGGCTTGTCTCTGCTGTTGTATTTTCCGCGAAAGTTGTCGACCAGAAATGCTTTATCCACATGAGTTATGATAGCCTATCTTCCATTATAAAACAGTCATACAATCCCAACCGTTCATCTGAGCCAAAGCCTGACTACACACACACACACACACACATATATATAT